CAGTTTAGTCATATTTTAATCATAAATATTGGTTCATTTATTATTATGGCAGTATTACAGTGGCATTGACATACATTACAGGTGGGCAAAGTGTGACCCACCGGCCGCATGCGATGCAACATTAATTTTGTTTGCGGCCCTCGAAAATGAATTAAAAAACCTGAGCGGCCCACCAACCATCTTTGGCTAGAAGAAGAAGACCATGTCCTTACAGCCCAACACCAATTATCTGACAATGTAATATTAAAACTGTGTATTAAAGCCATAAAAGCAGTGCATGAAGGATTTCGGAAGTGCACTTGGAACGTCAGTGTTCGGGTGTGGATGGTGTTAAATCAAAAGTTCACTTGGGCCTTCTGACCAATTTTCATGCCCACCCCGGACATACATGGTAAGACAAAAGAAATACAAAACATCAAAGGGGTATAAAATCCTTTTCGAATAAAGTTCAGATTAAATAACATTTAACAGTAAAAAATAGACAAATGACTACAAAATTAAACTTGTTTTGGGGGTCCAAAATGTTCAGTTGTATGGACCACCCTCATTTCTAGCTCGGAAAATTCTTGAACTTTGTTCATTATTTCTAAACAAAAAGAATTTTGGGAATGGTGTATTTCCATGATGGTAAAGATATAATACCACTGTTCTAATTTAATGTGTGCTTCTTCTAGGTTGGATGGTATAACGAGTTGGTTGATAAAGTCTTTCATCTTCCGTACCATGCAGACACTGTTGCATTATGTGTGCTAAGCATACCTTGCATGTATGAGCGTGCTTTCAAACCGTGGATTGAAGCCAACAAGAACGGAAATATGCTCGTGAAAGATCCCATTGATGAATGTGTTGGGTCATGCTATCAAAAAGTACAACAGGTGAAAATTCTTTAGTGCTATAGAAGGCATTAGGCCAAATAAAAAAAAAATATTGTGTTGGCCACGCCACGCCCAACTGACTCAAATTTTACGAAATTCAGGATTGGCATTTTAGCTTTGTATTTTCTCTCTTGACTACAACAAACAATATTTTTTTATGAGCAAATAAGGCTGAAATAGCGTTGGCCAGGCTAGGGGCGAAGGCATAGCCTATTTTGCTGGATAGTACACAATTCGAATCCGAATTTGTTGTATTATTTGTGATTTTCTACTTTTTAGGCATAAACACATTTTTGGTTGTTTAAAAAAAAAAAGTTTTCCTACCGACCTACCCATTTTTTGGATTTTCCCACAATGTCGCCAACACAAATTTTTTTTTCGGCCTTATATATTATTAACAGAGGGATATCCAGGATGATTTTTGCTTGTGAAGTTGGGTGGGGGCCATTGGTCCGATTAAGGAGGGTTGGTGTCCTGGTTGTAACTTCTGTAAGGTTTTTGGCATCTCAGGAAGGAATGGAAATGGCGCGCCTTTCTAGCTCGGAAATTCTTTGTTCTGAGCTATTATGGTAGTTATTTTTTAAAAGTCTTCATCAATGTTATTGGAATTTGGAAGCCCTATAATATTTTTGTCCAGGTTCATTTTGGCACCCCATACATGTGGTCTTTTCTGTATCACTGTGGTTATACCTAACCTCTCTGATTGGGGTGTTCCTTTCCTTATTGTGGGCATATTCTGCCCACAAGTTCCTGGATTAGCCACTGAATAATATTGTTTTTATCTTCAAGTTTACTGTCCTTTATTTTGTTAGTAATGGTAATAATCTTTTGTTTTCATGTGGCAGAATTTACCAGACGTTGCACTAGACTTTATACAAGACTATGAACAGCACCATGGCACCCGAAGACCTAAACTGCTGGTGCAGACTGCCGGGCATGTGTCTGGTGCAGCTTACTACTATAAACGTTCCGATGTGAAGAATGATCCTTGGCACGAAAAGAAGGTATTGAAATTTCCTATTTTGATTAAAACTTTAATAGAGGTCACCTATCACCTAAGTAAGTAAATCTAAGTTATCATAATTGAAGATATATGTAGGTCTGTGTAACTGATCAGATAGTCTTGAACAATGCAATATTTCATAATTTTATTTACTTTCTATATTTTATTTTATTGTATTTTTATATAAAGTATTTAAAATATTTAATGAAAAAGTAAATCTAAGTAATCATATTTAAAGATAAATATAATTCTGTGTAAATGATCAGATAGTTAATATATTAATTATTGTAATTCATTAAACAATATGTTACTTTTTTATATAGAGGATATATGGTGCTAGTCTTCACCCTCGATTTGGTGGTTGGTTTGCATTCCGTGGAGCCATTATCATGAAGGATATACAAACCACGAGCATTCCGAGAGTGCTCCCTCATGATTCTCTCCCTACTGACAATCAGAAAATTGATTTTCTTGATAAGTTTAATAACAATTGGCAGAATAACATGTTTAGAGATGTGATACCAGTAGCAGATAAATATTCGGAGGAACAACAAAAATACTTTGAGACTTTACCGAAAAATAGAGCAGCACTTTTAGGATTGAAACAGAATGTTGATCAAGATGGTTGAAATTTAATTTTTAGCGAGTTGAGTGGCTGAGTAGTAGAGGCAGCATGTACCAGAGCCTTACATCGGCATTGGTTTGAAACATTTCTCGTTCATGGTTCAGGTGTTTAAAGCCGGGTACTCACTACGCGCGATGGAGACATGACAGCAAGGCAACGACAAACGACCAACGAATCGCTTTTTTAATGATCCGTTTAGACTGCCACTGACAATCAGCAGACAGCGTTACATCGTCTATCGCTCACCGGAAGTAGATGTGGATTCGTCGTACGACAGTCGTATGACGTAGTAAGTGTCTGGCTTAAGTCTTCTTGGGTAAGGATAGCGTGTACACAAATTAAGTCATGCTAACTTTGAAGAGCTCAAGATATCCTTTGAGAAGAGCAGGGGGCTCCAGTGGTGGCTCCAGGATATATTTTCTGGGGGCGGGGCGGTGGGCTGAGCTGTCCGACGGGGGACTTGAGCTCGTAGGCCCGAGCTGGGGGAAGTGTTTGAGAGTGGGGTCCCCCTTTCAAAAGAGATTTTTTTAAGAATAGGAACCTCTGGATGGCCAGAAATGACACTCTCAGACTGTGAGAGACGTGTTGGCTTGGCGTGGGGCTATTTTAAATTTTTTTTAAGTCTGACTGCCCGATGAGGTCTGTCTGATGGAGGGGGGGCTTGACCTGTCTGGTTAGTGGACTTAAGCCCCTGTTTCCCCCCGCTGGCGCCGCCACTTGGGGGGAAAATAGATGCGTGCGCCTATAAGCAGCAACACAAGGTGATGGGAAAGGTGTCAGAATATTACCGCACTGTGCGAGTGTTGACGTTTACTGAATGTTGGTTGCCGTCTGAGCAGATCGCCATTGATAACGATTCATCACACAAACCTACAGTAGTTGCATGTTGGTGAAGTGTGTGACAACAGTAAATAAGAAATTTTTGTTTAACAGTATATTTATGAGTTATAGGATGGAAGTGTTGTCATATATATATTTTATATATATTTATAGTATAAAAATAATATTCAATATTTTTTATTAATATAATTATTAAAAAAATAATAATTATTAAAATAATTATTATTATTGAAATTTTATTTTTTATTATAACCAACTTGATTAGCAATACAGATTTAACTGCCATACACTGTTTTATTTACATAATATTTTGATAAGATACTAAAATATTATCAGGGGTGACGGCAGGATTTCCCCGACGAAAGCAAAGTGGGCGTGGTCGAGCTTCAATTAAAAGGTATCAATAGTGGTCCTGGGGTCAAAGCCCCCGAAAATTTGGACAATTTAGGGGTTTCAAAGGCTTATTTAATCGATTTTATAGTCTCCTAATCTACTAATTTTTTTTTCTCCCCGACAGGGGCCAGCACACCGCGACGCCCCCACTGGCGCCACCCCTGAATATTAGAGAAAGTAGATCACAAAGACTGAGGATTATTAGCTACCAAATATATTGCCAATGCCATGGTGCTTATGGGGTGGGGAGAGAACTAGTATTAAGTGAGGGGGAACAAGCGGGGGGGAAATAAGTGGTGATTACTGTTAACTAATTGATCTTGATTTTTTTTTGTTTTTTTGTGGGGGGTGGATTACGTGCCCCACTTTTCTCCCCAGATATGTTTCTGTTCGTAGACAGTCACTTAATATGCAAACATCTCTTTTACCGGTATTGAAGTAAAGTACATTAGCTGCACAATAATAAATTTACTATTGTAACATGAAATACATGGTGGAGGGGAATGCAATGTTTATTAACTGTATGTATTTATATAATCATCTTGAGGGGTATCATTAAATGACCATGACAACTGAAAAAAAAATATCTTGTGATTTATTTACTATAGACATGTATTTGATGTACATATAACTTGCTGTTAGAGTAAATTTTCAGAAAAAAAGTGGTAATTATTAAGCTTACAGTAAGTCCAATATTCCTGGCGTTGGCAAAGGAAGAAAAAATGTTTGTTTAGCTCATTCTCATCCTACAAGGGCTCCCTTGGCAATCTGTATGTGGTGTTCTTAAAAAAAACAAAACAAAAAAAAATATATACTGTCATTATAATTTATTATGAGTTAGCTACGGAGGCTTGTAGACTGGACAGGACGTCAAAAAGATCATGGGGTTGGTAAAACAGCTCTTTTTCCCTTCTGTACTGCATATAAATGCGTGGATGCACACCAAGCCAGGAAGTGGCTACACATGGCCATCATGTTTAAACACTTTAAATTAATACATCAAAAGTACAATACCCACAAACACTGAATAATGACGAATTGAAAACATACTTTATTGGAATTTATGTTTATTATACCTTTCAAAGTACTGTACAGTGAAATAATAAACCATGGAATCTTGTATTAATAAAAACAAACCGTACCTTTCAACAGATAATCTTCATAAATTGTTTATAAACTATTGTATATTATTTAAAGATCTAAAATTATTAAACAAAATATTCCCACATATTGTTCCACACTTTGATATGATTAATCTGTGCATTTACAATAATATAATAATCTATACATTTATACAAAATTGCAGTATAACTTAAAATGAGTTAGAACTACCTTGTATGTTCCTGTTGAACGATGCTAACATTTTTATTAGTAGAAGCACACGCTTTTATTATTAATGAAAATTGAACTGAGCTTACATATCAGATGGCGAGTCAAATGGCTGAGCGGTTAAGGCAGGGGCACTGCAACCTGCAGCCAAAATATTGGTGCTGGTTGGAATGGTACACTCGCCTATAACGCTGGTGGCAGAACAAATCTTCTCGGATAATTAAGGACTATAAACCGTAGGCCCAGTGTACACAATGGCTTGTGTGCTGGTACAGACAGCACTTGTGGTGGATGATGAGAGTTGCTGGTACAGGGTTATACCGAGTAGCACATACACGAAGGGACCCTTAGGTGCGAGAGAAGTCATTGATCGAGTTACTAGTCCACTTGTTCAAATCTGTCTACACTCTCAAATTTCATGTGACAAAAACAATGTGATATGCCTATATTTGGGTGTAATATGACAACACCATGTCCATATATGGGCACATCACACATATTTGTCACATAAAATTTGATAGTGTTGTAGGAACTTTACAAGTGCACCTATCTGAAATAATACCTAAAAATCGATTCAGATATTTTAGAGTAAAAAGCACGCTTTTTGAAATGTGTTTAGCACACATAACTTGATGAAAATATCTAGTATACCGAACTTGTTGAGAAAAAAAATCTAGCACCCACACTGCGAAATTGGAATACATGTTTGTCCTCCAATCGAGACCATGGCCTTTAGGAGCTGAAAATTTGGTGTGGTCTTGGGGGGTTCAGTCCACTTAGAGGGTTAGCTTTGTGTTAGTAGATTAAAGATTGATATTAAGTTCTTTGGAAAAAGTGGTCTCGACTTATATAGAGGGGGATTTTGAATTGGAGGGCGCACTTGACATTTTTATGTGATGACTGTTGGGGCTTGCCGGCCAGTGAGCTCTTGTAGTTGTGAAATCTTAAGTGCTATAGTCACCAAGGGTTTCAGGATGTCTGCTGCCATCATGTTATGGCGGTCTTGGTTAGCCTCAAAGCTGTCAACGTATAGTCGAATAGTGGCACCGCTGCTACCGGTTCCACTTAACCGAAAGATTACTCGAGAACCATCCTCAAAGATAATTCTTAAACCCTAGAAATATATAAAAATGCAAGTTAAGTTAATTAAATATACCATATCAGTGGTAGTACTTTCATACTGTTTATTGAAAGAAATAGTTTAAAATTAACCGGACAGGGGAGAGACAAATATACCAATGCACTCTGCCAGCATAAAATGAAGCAAGACCAAACAGCCCTTAATTTAGAGTGTGTACCACTAACTAAAAGAACCCTAAATTCCTATTAAAAATACTACAAAAAATAGTGATTAATTAACAGCAATATTTCTCTTACCTGTTTCTTTGAAATGCTTTTATCAATTGGATCTTCATACTCAAAATCGTCTCCAAGTTTAACCGTATATGATTTGTTGCCCTCTGTGTAACATTTCCCAACAAAACTAGCCTCTTGCACCAGCTGTCTTAGGTTAGTCATCATTTTTTGTGCGGCTTCAGAATCAACATTTTCATAATCGTATCTGAGAGGAGAAACAAATTAATGGATAAAGCTCTGTTGTATACCATATATAATCATGATGTGCCTATATATGGTCATGACGTGATGTCATCATGACCATATTTAGGCATATCACATGTTTTTGTCAAAATTTGATAGTTCAGACAGGGCTTCTGAGGTCAAAAATCATTAAGACAGATCCAAAGTGCTTTTTTTTGGTACAGTACTTTATTTCAGAGAAGCTATAGGTAAAGTTAAGTCTTACATTACCATATACCTGAATATTCAAAGTATAAATGACAGACCGTAAATTATATTTTTTAAACATGAGTACAGTATTTAAAATCAAACTGATGAAATGTATTAAGTATTTTGCATTCTTTACCAAATTTTCATACTTGGGAAAGCCAGATAGCCACATACATGTCATGACTAGTCACTAATAATTAGCCTCCCATTAACTAAACTTAATATAAAGACACACATCAAAATAAGAAAGTACAATAAAATGCAAACAAGACAGCAAAGGGCTTAACTTTTAAAGTATTCAATTAAATTTTGGTATACAAAATTACAAACAAATACAATAAGAAGAGCTGTTACCACATTGTTCCATCCTTTAATTAGCTAGTAAATTTAAGTAAATACATACAAATAAAACGAATTATACTAATTCATTAGATAACATAACAGAATGTTTACATAAACGTAACAGGAATTACCTTGTGAAGAAATTTCTTCCATATTTTGTCCAGTGAGCTTTCATAATCTCCTTGATTGTTTGCTTTCTTGATGCCAAGATTGACAACCACGCCAACACAGCCCACAATCCATCCTTCTCCCGTATGTGGTCGCTGCCAGTCCCGAAGCTCTCCTCACCACATAACGACAGTTTGTCCGCATCCATCAAGTTACCAAAAAACTTCCAACCAGTAGGAACCTCAAACAACTGCAGACCATCCCCTTTAGCAACCCTTCAAAGAGTAAAATGAAAAAGAAAATTTTAAAAGCTATGATATATTTATTTTTTTTAATTTCAACTTCATGAATATATATTGAACGCAACTGCACAAATAGACACTGTTGCTCTCCTTGTATTTCAGCTACAGGGCTGAAATACAAGTTACGACCGTCTTTCTGATGAGACCTTTAAGCTACTGGTCAAGTGTGATATATGGCCCATGTGTACGTTAAAGAACGCAATACATTCTTCGGAAAAAGATTAGGGGATTGTCTCCCCGTGTACTGCCCAACCACCACCAGAAGGACCCCACTGTCTATATTCAGACTTTCTTGGGTTATCCTTGGCGTTTACACTGAATGAATGCAATCCAATCCAATCTGATAATCAAGATTTTATTTTCATTACTTTTTCCCATAACTATTGTTACTTGGTACTTCTAAAGTGCTTTTCCTTCCGGTTACTAAGCGCTAACTACCCTCTACTTTAATGAATATTTACTGCAAGTACAGCCTACCCTAACCAAAACCAAGAGTGTATGTTTTCGTGAGTCATAGAAGTAAGTCAATAGTAATAAAGAATAAAGTAATAGAAAGATTTGAATGAAATCAGTGCAAAAACAACCACACCCAGCCCAGCATGCCCTAAACTCAATTGAAGAGTATCTCTAGTTTATGCTTACATTCTGAACTGCTATTCCATATTCATCACAATACTTATTATTACCCCTGACCTTTTGACAACAACTACACACCACACACTTAGACATTTCCTGTTCAGTAATTCAGCACACAAACACATACAGTACACAAAGGCCAGGTGTGTGAGGTGCTACCATGCCCTGTTAACCTACAGGCCCAGCAGTTGCACCTGTATTTCAACCCCAGTTAGCCTTACCTGTCCAGTGCACCGGATGTGGGCATACTCCTTGCTAAGCCTTTCACGCCAGTCTTTTGGAAGTACGGAATGCATTTGGCATTCGCTGCTATCACCGCAATTGAATCACTGGGGTTAACAAAGAAACCGTTCTGTCCCAAAATCATGTTTCTGTCCTGTGGAAATGGAACAAGTCAATTTATATTTACCATAGCGTAAAACCTCGAATAGGAGCCCACTTAATCTAAGAAACAGGCAAAGAGCTAGGTGAGGGGTGGTGAGCATTGACATGACTCCCAATGTAGACCTGTAAACAACTGCTTCTTTATATTATAAGATTTTAACACTTTTATGCAATATCTTATTTTATGATTAATAAAATAATCTTTTATAATTCTATTTCCATGCTACTTGGAAATAAAGTGCATAAGGAATTAAATAGGTTTATATAAAATAGAAAACAACTGAAGTGAAATGTAGGCCCTACTATAGGTTTATAAATTTCATTTATAAACTTGCAAACAAAATACTTACACCATCTCCATCAAAAGCAGCTCCAAACGCATGGATACCCTTTTTCATTAACGCCACAAGGTCAGCAGCGTAGGTCAAGTTAGGATCAGGGTGGTGACCTCCGAAGTCGTCTTTTGGTACGCAGTTGATGCAGCTTTCAGATGGAAGACCAAGTTCACTGCAGAAGATACGTGTAGCATATGGGCCAACCACTGAAAAAAGATTAACTGAGTAATTTTTTTTGTACATTATTATTCCAAAAAATTTGATATGGAAATGTAAATATTAACAGAAAATACACATTATTACATATATTCATAATAATAAACAATGCAAGAAATAGCCATATTAGTCTGTAAAATGTCTCAATAGAAATATTACTGAAGCATAATCTTGTTAAATAAAACTCTAAAAGTACTCTCTAAATAGTTACAATTTCAATAACTAGTGTAAAATATATAAATATATATTTGTACATGAAACTGTACAGGGGATGGTCTAGGGGTAAACATGGGCTAGTGCCCCACCCAAAAGAAAAAAGAGAGAAGAGAAGCAAAGGAATGAGGAGAAGATAGTACTCCAAAAGAAGCTAATTTTTTATTTCAATTCCATGTATTAGTGTCTATGTTGAAGAATTTCTAAACAAAACTCAAACAACACCACTGCCTCTCTCCCTCCCACCTACTGTGTGTCACACTTCACATTTCCCCTACAAAAATTTTTTCTCTGGATCGCCCGTTATGTTTGGTACTGGCGGCACAGGCAATCACTGGAAATAGAAGACAGTAAGTGCAGACTATATAAATTATGATAACCACAATTTAGTTAGAAATACTAAACAGAAATGCCAGTTTGGTGAAAGTTTTCGGTGGGCTCTACCTCCATGCATTGCATCCGCAACCACTTTAAAAGGCTTCTCCTGATTGGTCAAATACGCCTTCAATTCACCAAAGTTAAAAATTTCCTTCATGTAGTCAACATAATCAGTAACACTATCAATAATCTGGAAAAAATTACAATATATAATACAAATTTGATGGATGTTTGTTAAATTGTTAGGAGTAACAATGGTATTACAGAGTATTACGAGTGGGAGGATGCAAAATGAACCAACTGGGGTTCTGAGTTGCCTAAAATCCCCGGCAGCATAGAAGGGAAAGCTTATAATTCAAGCCAGTATCTATAGTTAGAAACAACAATTTTATAACAGTAACTATGTTGATAATATTGTAATTAAAAATAAATATACTGTATATATATTCAACTGATACCTCAACAATGAATTTTCTGCCATCAACTTGGTACTCTTGCACTCCAATGCTTCCTATATCCACAAGCAAGTCTGGACAAGTCTTGTACTCGCTAATGGCTTTTGTGCACTCAAATATTCTATTAGTCACGCTCTCAGGTGCAGGGCCTACAAACAAGAACAAAAAATTTACCTGAAGAATACAGTAGTTCATAGATTCATTTGTGTTGGGGGGGGGCAGGTGTGTTTGTGGGTGGGTGTGTGTGAACGTATGTTGACTGGTTTTGTCAGAAAGTGGGTGTGTGTGAACGTATGTTGACTGGTTTTGTCAGAAAAAAAATCAAAATTGAGTTTGGTAGTTTTAGATTCTGCATAAATTCTTCTTTAAAACAATGTTTATTTGATGGAGTACTGTATTAGCGAAGTTATCAATATACATTGGATATCAGCCATATAGATTTTGAGAAAACAGGTTTCAAAGATTGCAAAATCAATAGTTTAACATTAAGATTTTTATTTTTAAATATTTATTTTAATATAATTTTCAAGGACAAATGCACAGTACCTCCATTTGATATGTTGTACTTGATTCCAAAGTCTCCTTTAGGTCCTCCTGGATTGTGACTGGCAGTGAGGATTATTCCGCCAGTCGCCGATCTTTTCCTGATGATGCACGACACAGCTGGTGTGGAGAGGACTCCATTTTGACCAATCACAAGCTTAGCAACCTACCAAGAAAGTAATAATAATCCTAGTAAAGAATATTATTTAACTATGATTTCCAAGCTGCAACATATAAGCTTTTCTAGCTTATTTATGTTTGAGCGATTCAGTCAGATGTATGAAGGAAAGTACCTAGGACTTTATATCTGCAAGTATATCTATATATGTCTTTTGGCCTAATGGGTATGACACTCGCCTCGATAACGAGAGGTTGCAGGTTCGAATCACGCCAGAGAAACTTTATTTCATACAAGTGATTAAAATAATAACAAGATTTATAAAGCGCACATATCCTGTATGTAGCTGAAATATATGTGTTTTTTGTGATTCTTTTTATGTGTGATTTTTGTTTTTAATTTCCCTTGCTATGTGCCTCTTGTGTGAATTTAGTATTTCCATTTTTGCATGTGTGTTAAAACAAAGCATAAAACAAAGGAACAAATAGAACAATGGAGGGAGCCTCCCTCCCTAAAAAAGCACTTTGTTTTATGCTTTGTTTTATTTACCAGCTTTCTATTGGCTACTACGTTTTGTTCTGCTCACCTATTGGTGCATTCTGTTCTGTGGAACCATGTTTTGAGCCTTCCATATGCTATATATTTTGCTATTCTCATGTTTTTCTTTAGCTTGACAAAGGTTGATAACCGAAAACATTTGCTCACTTAAATAAATTATATATCTGGCAACTTATTACCATCTTTCCGGAGTTTTTGTTTTTTCTATCTTGTTTGCCAATGCAGCCCTCCAGTTTTTGTCTCTTATACACATCT